TTTTTTTTACCGTATTTAAAATTCATACTCCAGCAATTACCTTTGAGATAGTTACTGGACTGAGCAAAATTAAAAAAAATAAAATAAAAAGTGCAGCAAACTGAAAACTGCCTGCGGGCACGGTTTAAGGTATACACAAGCTAGAGCTCTATACCAAGCATGCTTGCCCCCGAAGTGGACAATGTTAGAAAAACTTATCCTTGCTCTTTTTAATATTGTTTTGGTGATGCATTTACAATGAACCAATAGTATACCTAGAAAGAAATGTTTTTCTGGTTCTAACTATCATATTAAGCAGAGGTCACACCTAAAGTATCACAGTACCGTTTATTTACAAAAAAAAAAATAAATAAATAAAAAATTTAAAACATGATTTACCCTCTTTGCATTGCTTTCTACTGACATGTTGAGTCTATGTTTAACTCCTCACATTGTCTTCAGTTGAAGCAAAGTTCAAACAACATGAAATACTTAGCAAAAGTATATTTAAAAAAATGAAATTCCCGAACAAATTGGATTCCATTGCCATTAGCCTATGTCCATTTTAAATGCCTGAACCAAACAACCTTCAGTAAATGAATACTGACTTATTTACATCTCATACACTATAAAAATGTTGATAACTATGATCCTCATTGCAAAATACTGGCAAAACTGACATTCATGATTTTTCTGATGTAAAGAGTGCAATAAAAAGCAATCACATGTAGTCCTGGACTGCACTCGATTTGCAAATGAATTGTGCCTAGTAGTTTAAGACTGTATTAGTAACTGAAGAAAGCCATGTGAGAATCCTGATAATTGGGAAGTTATTAAAACCATTTAATTCAGCTGAGAAAGGTAAACTAAAGTTTTCCCTTTAATTTTTGTTGTTGTTGTTGTTACAACCATTTTCTGTCCACAGAACCTTTAAAACTCCTGTGGCAGTAAGATCACTAATATTCACAGGAAAAATAATCCCCATAGCACTTTACAAGAAATTGATCCGTGATGAAAAGTGTAATTAACAAAACTGTAAACAGTATCTTCACATTCATTTGCAAATGAAAAAAAATCACTTATGGGCATAAATTTCAATCCAAGAGAACAAACACTCTAAAAGGGAAAAGAAAAAAAGGAGGACACTTAAGATAGAGAAGTGCTCTTTTTCAAAGTAAATACAGATTAAAAAGTCTAGGAATATTGATCAAGTATCAAACTGATAAGGAACAAATTCTATAAACTACAAAATAAAAACCTTCATTGACAAAAATACATAAACTCTGTTTTCATTTTTGGAAATTTATTTTTAAAAAAGGTAGAAGAAAATACCTGGAAAACTATTTTAAATATATATATATTTTAAAACAATAGTTAAGGTAGGCATCCAACAGCAAGCTGCAGCTAGTGAGAAAGATCTTGCAATTATTGTTGTGGGCATTTTCCCCAAAATAAAATTAATATTTGAAAATGCTCAATAGAGGGTTTTTTTTAAACCATAGTAATGATTTTCTTTCCTGTCAATGTGTGAAGACGTTTGAATAATGTATGATTCTTTAAAATTAATTGTATCTCGATATGAGATACCAATATTTCTTATTATAAGCGTAAAACATAACTTTTTGTATGGATAATATACATACTTTTTAAGTACTTCGACTTAAACTTAACAAGTTCACCATTTTTAAAATTAAAGAGTACATTTATAAAAATTTTATTTTAAAATTAAAAGTATATTCTCTAGCCATATGTATAAATATAACATGTTACTGTATGATCTGAAAACAAATCTGAAAGTGTTGCAATATTTAAGACCTAGAACACTGAAACGTACAGCAAATGATCTTACTATTTTTTTTATAATTGAAAACTATATAAAGCCCTATTAAAGGTTTTAAGACTATGATCAGTTTAATTATTTAAGGTGCAGCTAGCAGCATAGTCATGATTTTGGTATGTTTTATACATATGTATCACTTGATTTTAACTGAGAAATGTGGATTAACTGATAATAAAAAGTTTTCATTACCTAAAAAAGTGCAGAAAAAATTCAAGTTTAAAGTTCAGTGCTCTTTATTTTGCAAAAACAAATAAACGAAATCCCCAAAGTTAAAATGTAAAATAAATCTTTGCCACAAAAAATTTACCTTTGGATATAGCTTTTCTAATGTCATATGAGAAAATGCCTTAAGCAAAACATATATGGAATATGGAACTCAGGGTAAAACTTTGTACTCCGTGGGGTCTACCACGTGTTTTCCATTCCCTCAGCTGTCTCCCCACCACCCCCTGTAACCTAAAAATGTGTAACACTTTCAGACTTGTTTATAACACTCACAAATCTACAGGAATAACTTCAGAGAAACCTACAATTAAGAAGTTCTAAGCAAAAGAAAAGCTTCTTTCTTTACTAGAAAGTACTGTATTTAAACTGGGATATACCACACATAACATAGACAGGTAGCAGCATTTTTTCACATCCATAAAGAAAATTGAATTAAGAAGTTAATAACAGCTCAGATCAATAACCATTTTTGGAAACGCTCCGTACAAATGAAATGCAAACCCAGGGGATTAAGATGATGCAAAACTTCAAATGGATGTAATACACAGAATTTGTCAGAGTGTAAGATTTCAAATAACTTTTTAAGCAAATACATATGAATTTTAGCTTGAAGAGTGAACTGGATATATGGCACATAAGGCAAACAACTTCCTATTGACAAACTGCTAATCAATGAATACTTCAATGACTTTAGAGCCAAAGACACATGAAACAAAGAATAATGTCCTCAAATGAGGATATGGAGGTATGGAGGAAGCACACACACATCTTTCACTTTTCTAATATTTTTGACTTT